GTTATAGGTTTGGAGCCCTGGTGGCACAGCGGTTAAGTGTTCCGCTGCTAACCAAAAGGTCAGCAGTTCGAATCCACCAGCCACTCCTTGGAAGCCCTGTGGGGGCAGTTCTACTCTGTCCTGTAGGGTCGCTATGAGTCAGAATTAACTCCACGGCAGTGGGTTTGTTTTTTTGGTTTTAGTTTATAGGTTTAAACAAATACATAATGTCATATGTCTACCAATACAGTATCACACATAATAGTTTCACTACCCTAAAAATGCCCTGGACTCCACCTATTCATCTCACCCACCCCTCACCCGAAACCCTGGCAACCACTGGTCTTTTTACTATCTCTGTAGTGTTGCCCTTTCCATAATGTCATGTAGTTGGAATATTATACTATGAAACTTTTTCACCCTGGCTTCTCTGACGCATTGGTAGATATTGTTAACCTTACCCCTTCCACTCCAGGTTTGCACCATTTTACCATCCCACCAGCCGTGCATGAATAAATATACCTGTTTTCCCAAGATCTGACCAGCAAAACATGAAATCACATTTTGCCTTTGCCAGTCTGGCAGGTGAAAAATGGTATCCTGTTGGAACTTTAATTTGCATCTGGAAGAGGAAATTCTTTGGAAGCAAAGGCATGCCAAGTCACAGTGTCACCTAGCTTTAGGCCCTCTATTAGTCCTAACAGTGCCTCTCTGCAAATTGGAAAAAGGCATTCCTCCTCAAGACACTTGGCTGCTATCTGTTAGAAAACCATCGTAATAACCACACAATCTGTGAAGACTTTGAGGCAAAGAGCACCCTTGGAGTGGTGCAAAGCCAGCCTCCTCCACCACAGGTGGCAGCTGGAGCTGAAGGCAGGTTTGAGAGCACAGTACAGTGGTTGCTGGGTCCAAACCAGATTGCACGGAGTGAATGCCATGGAAGCGGCAGATACAGGACAGGAGCTCAAGCTGTTTGACAGAGGAGCACGAGGGCACTCGCTTGAGGGACAGCCAGAATAAATGGAAACTTCATTATCCATGGATTATGCACTTGGAGCTGAGGTCCCAGGCAACTCTGATATTAGTAATTTGGCCAGGAGGCTCATTAAGCTCTTAAGAAAAGTGGGCCTAGTGAATGAATTAATACAAGATGACGTTTTACACACAGAGCAAAAACAAAACCAGGCACCACTGAGTTACAGAAATCACAATTCCTCTGACGAATGTGACCGCCGTGCTGCGCCTGCCAAAGTGGGCAGATCTGGAGAGAGCCTGCTTTCAGAGACGCGAGCCAGACCATTAAGATCCACAGACGTTTTGCATTCCATTCATTTTAAAGAGGTCCCACGTGTATTCTTAAAACCTCGAGTGGTTACACAGAAGTCTGGGTTTTAAAAGCTCTGGCCTGATTTGTTTTCTGGGTGAAGAGTCAGCCACTTACCTCCTTTAAGAAGCATTTCTCACTGGAAAAGAACTCAGCCCGTCCTGATCATCTGCCACCCCAACCCCCGAAGGGAGCTCCCAGCTTCTGCCACTGTGGACCAGAGAAGTTGGTGATGATAAGAATGTGAATAGGAGCTAGCGTTGTTGTTGTTATTGTTAGTCGGCCCCGACTCATGGTCACCCCATGCAAAACACTGCCCAGTTCTGCACCATCCCCATGATTGGTTTTGGATCTGACCATTGTGATCCATGGGGTTTTCATTGGAGGGTTTTTTCATAAGTAGATTGCCAGGCCTTTCTTCCTAGTCTGCTTTAGTCTGGAAGCTCTGCTGAAACCTGTTCAGCATCATGTTGTTGTTAGGTGCCATCAAGTCGATTTTCAGCTCACAGCAACCCCATGTGACAGAGTAGAACTACCTCACAGGGTTTTCTAGGCTGTAATCTTTGCAGAATCAGATAGCCAGGTCTTTTCTCCTGCAGAGCTGATGGGTGGGTTTCAAACCATCAACTTTTCAGTTAGCAGCCGAGTGCTTAACTCTTGTGCTACCAGGGCTCCTTTATCAGCATCATAGCAACATGTAAACCTCCACTGACAGACAGGTGGTGTCTGCACATGAGCTGCATTAGCCGGGAATCAAACCCTAGACTCCCACATGGAAGGCAAGAATTCTACCACTGATCCACCACTGCCCTCAAGAGATAGCATTAACCAAGTGCAACCCCTTGCCCGGCACTGTGCTCAGCACCTTACATATCGAATTATACTTTATCCCCCCAATATTCCAGTGAGATCAGTACAGTTACTTAACAACCACCTCCACCATTTTAAAGATGAGGCAGCTGAGGCTCATAAAAGCTTAAATAACTTGCTTCAGCTCAAACAGCTAGAAATGATGGCCCAAGATCCGACCCTCTGTGACTCTGCAGCTCTGTGCAAGAGATAATAAAATAAAGAGGATGTTTTATTTTAAGTGTAAATTCTGAAATGTACACACGCAGAACCCCAGAGTGACAGCTAATTGTCTCCAGAAAAATCCAGAACTGCTTGCTTCCCTTAATGGTTTGGCAGCACCCTTCTGCCTTTCAGCTGGGACCTTACTTAGTTCTATTTGTACAATTAGTCATTGAACTGGTGACTGCTAGGAACTTGGAGGAAGCTTTGCTTTTGGTCAATGTTCAGGTGTCGCTGGAAAGAAACTGGGAAGCTTGAGGGGGAAGGTCTTCATTTATCTCAGATTAGGATTATTTTGGGAATCAGGAAATATTTGTATGAGGAAAGAAGAGAGGGCGTATGTGTTGCAGCATGTCCTGCCTCTTATTTCTTATGTGACCTTGGACAAATTAATTCACCTGAGTCAGTCTGCTCACCTGAAAAATGGGGATAATAATAACACCTGCCAGGGTGTGTAAGGAGCTCTGGTGGCGCAATGGTTAAGTGCTCGGCTGCTAACTGAAAGGTCGATGGTTTGAACTCACTGGCCTCTCCGAGGGAGGAAAGACCTAGTGCTCTTAACGCCTGTAAAGACTGCAGCCTACAAAACCCTATGGGGCAGTTCTCCTCTGTCCTCTAGGCTCATTAGGAGTCAGAATCGACTTGACGGCACACAAAACAACACCAGGTGTGTGTGAATAAACGAATTTTTTCATTGAATTGTATATATTTACTGAGTGTCTGCTATGTGCCAAGCACCATCCTAGGGGTGTATGCTGGGAATACAGCAATGAACAAGACAGACCACATTTAGTGACATGGGTTGTGATAAAGCACTCTTAGCACAGGGCCAGGGCACAGGGCACACGCAGCCAGGAGTTGCTGCTGTTGCTGCTTCGTGTCTACATTTTGGCCTCTTGCTGTTGTTAGTTGCTGTGAGTTAACGCCAACTCATGGTGGCCTTATGTATAACAGGGTGAAACGTTGCCCAATCCTGCGCCATCTTCATGATCGTCCATGTGTTTGAGTCCACTGCTTTGGCTATTATGTCAGTCTGTCTCATTGAGGGTTTCTCTCATCTTCACTGACCCTCTGCTACCAAACATAATGACCTTTTCTAGTGATTGGTCTTTGCACATGATGTGTCCAAAGTAAATGAGCCAAAGTCTCACCATCCTCACTACTAAGGAGTGTCCTGGTTGTATTTCTTCTAAGACTCATTTGTTGGACCCACTGAAATTCCCTTACTGCTTCAGAGTTGGAACAGCACAGGGTTGTAGTCTCCAGATTCACTCCCTAGGGGTGTACTTAGATTATTCTCCCAGTGAGGCCACAACAGTGGGTAGTGGTAGTTCTTCCACCAAGATGAGGGGTGCCCAGCTTTCTACGAAGAAGGACTCTGCATTTCCTGTGCCACCCCGGACCTTACTGTGGTTGTTGGGTGTGTCATGCCGACTGGGAAGCCGCTTACCTGAGTACTTGAAGTATGGCTCATTAGCGCATGCAGAGGGGCACACATTGGCAACCTGCAGGGCTGGGACATGGACCAGACCTTTGCCCTATGACCTCCGAGGAAATGCCTGCAGATTGCCCAGTGAGTTTTCTTTTAGGGAGGCTGCAGGGCAGCGTGTTAGGGGCAAGACCCTGAAGTCAGACCACTGTGCTCAAATCACATGGGGCTCTCCTCCCCTCATAATCATGGCACCTTGCTCCAAGGATGGAACTTTTTCAAGGTCCACTTTCTCATCTGAAAAAGAGGGATACAAAAGGACAAATATTGTATGATCCCACTTATATGAAATATCTAGAATAGGCAAATGCATAGAAATGAAAGTTTATTAGTGGTTACCAGGGATTGGTGGGAGGTGGAAACAGGGAGTTATTATTTAAGGGGTACTGAGGTGATGGGAAGGAGCCCTGGTGGCACAGTGGTTAAAGTGATCGATCAGCTACTAACTAAAAGATTCAAAACCACCAGCGGCTCTGGGGGAGAAAGATGTGGCCGTCTGTTTCCCTAGAGATTTACAATCTTGGAAACCCTATGGGATCGCTGTAAGTTGGAATCGACTCGATGGCAGTGAATTTTGGTTGGGAGGTGATAGGGTGATGAAAAACTTTTAGAAATGGATAGTGGTAATGGTTACACAACATGGTGAACAAAATTAATGTCACTGAATCGTACACTTAAAAATGATTAAAATGACAAATGTTTTGTTATATAGTCATGCGGCATTTAACGTCCACGCTATGTTCTGTGAAATAGAACATATGTGATTTGGACATATAATCTACTTTCTGTCTCTATAGATTTGCCTAGTCTGGACATTTCTTATAGATGGAATCATACATACATTGTGTCTGGCTTCTTTCACTGATCGTAATGTTTTCAAGGTTCATCCATATGGTAGCATATATCAGTACTTTGTTCCTTTTTATTGCTTAATAATATTCCATTGTATGGATGTACCACATTTTGCTTGTCTGTTGACCAGCTGATGGACATTTGGGTTGTTTCCACTTTTCGGCTATTATGGATCTGGCTGCTACGAACGTTCACATGCAAGCCCTGGGGCTGACTTTGAAGCCAAAGGCTAAACCATATAATTGGTAACCCTCTCTCCTTTTCTCTCCCCTCTGGGTTTCACAGAGCCGGGCAGTGGGCAGGTGTTTGTGACATCAGAGAACCAGCTCGTTTACTACCCCAGCATCACCTACGCCATCATCGGCAGCTCTGTCATCTTCGTGCTGGTGGTGGCCCTGCTGGCACTGGTCTTGCACCACCAGCGGAAGCGGAACAACCTCATGACGCTCCCTGTGCACCGGCTGCAGCACCCTGTCCTGCTCTCCCGCCTGGTGGTCCTGGACCACCCCCACCACTGCAGTGTCACCTACAACGTCAACAACGGCATCCAGTATGTGGCCAGCCAAGCCGAGCAGAACGCGTCCGACGTGGGCTCCCCACCCTCTTACTCGGAGGCCCTGCTGGACCAAAGGTGCGTGCTGGCTGGAAGAGACTGGGAGATGGCTTAGATGGGGGTATCCACACACACCTGGGTTCCTGGGTCTTGCCAAGAGCCTGGATTTAGCTGCTGTAGGCAGCAGCGACATCTAACATTTACTGAGTCCTTGCAAAATGCTTCACGTGCCTCATGTCGTTTAATCCTTCCAACGACTCATACAGAGAGGTTCTGTATTTGCCTAAATTTTACAGAGTTGGAGACTGAGGCTCTGAGACTTGTCTAAGGACATTCAGTTAGGGGGCTGGCCGATTCAGAGCCCTGCTCCTGCCCAGTGATGTCCCACTGGCTGCAGGGCTCCACCTGCACCGCAGAGCAGTGCCGGGTACATATTAGAGGTTTGGTAAATGGTTGTTGAACAAATGAATGAATGAATGAATGAATGTGTGAGCAAGTAAGTTCCTTAACTTTGCTTGCCTTCATCTATAAAATTAAAGGGGAGAGAATAGAGCCTTCTCGAGCTCTTTTGGACAGTAGAACCCTCATTACAAATGAAATTATACAAGAAACCCCATTATATAAAACCAAAAAAAGCATCATTCTGTAGATGAAGTGGACTCAGAATCCTGCCTGCTCAGCCTCCCCTTCCTCTTCTTTGTGACCTCCAAAGTATCACCCAAATAACCCTTGGAAGGGCCTGTTCCAGGGCTGTTCAAGTCCCTTTTGTTTCTAGGATTCCCATGCCCGGTCCTTCAGGGCCCTAGCTCAGCATTCCTCTTCCCCCAAGCCCAGGATGCGCTGTGTATAATATTAGGCATTTGGTAGGCTGTGCCCCTGGGGTGACTGGGCTCTTCGTTGGATCCTCTCCAGTGGGCAGCTCTTGTATTATTGAATCTTCATTTTTCCTTCTTCATAGAGGGTAAACAAAGCTTTGGGTTAGGGGCATGTCTTAAAGATCTCTGTGCAAAATAAGTCTGTAATAGTGCAGAATCTCACTCACCTAATAACGTTCCATCTCATACCCTGCTCATTCGGACCATCCTCTGTAGAGTAAGGTTAAGATGGCTGACTCTGGAAATGGAATACCTGGTTTCAGATCCCAGCCCTGCTGCTTACTAGCTGTTTCTGATGCTGAGTAAACCCCTTAATGTCCTTAGTTGTGCCTCAGTTTCATCATCAGTAAAATGGGCTTAAAAGTAATGCCTACTTCATAGCATTCTTGTGAGCATTAAATAAGATAATGAATGGAAGTTACATGGCATGGTGCCTGACTCGCAGTAGGACTTGAGTAAATGAGAGCTTTAAAAAATATCTTTTCCGTTCAATTATTTCATTTCCAGCAAGGTATTATTATCCTCTTTTACAGATAAGGAAACTGAGTCACTGAGAGGATGTCCTCTCACTTAACCCAAGTTCACATAGCCAGGAAGAGTTGGCTTTCACTAGGAACCCCAAGTTCTGTGGACCCACCAGGGGCTCAGTCGAAACACCAGCCTAGCTGCTTAGCCACGAGGCCCCCCACTGATGGAGTGAAGCTGCTTGGCCCAACCACCTAGGTTGAACTAAGGGAGCTTCCTGGCAACCTCATTCTGGGCCTACCCAGAGGATGTGGTTTTGGCACTGCCCAGTTGACACCAGCCAGCCAGAGTACATTGTATTTACTTTTTATTCCCTTATTCTTGTTCAAACCGCCAGCTTTCCTATCCTTGAGTTGCTTTTGCTCTTGGAGGGAGAAATCTCATTTCTCTTTTGAAGCATCAACTCTGGAGTGGATTGAAATTGGCTTTGGTTCCATGTGGCCTCTCAGCTTGGCTATAATGCCTTCTCTTCCCTCTCCTCACCCCTGCCCCTCCTGCCCCAACCTCTTTCTCCCTTGCAGACCTGCGTGGTTTGACCTTCCTCCACCACCCTACTCTTCGGACACAGAGTCCCTGAACCAAGCTGACCTGCCTCCCTACCGCTCCCGATCAGGGAGTGTCAACAGCGCCAGCTCCCAGGCAGCCAACAGCCTCCTAAGCGTGGAAGATGCCGGCCACAGCCCAGGGCAGCCTGGGCCTCCAGAGGGCACAGCTGAGCCCAGGGACTCTCTGCCCAGCCAGGGCACTGAAGAAGTATAAAATTCAATTATTCCAAAGTCCATATGGGTTAATCTGCTCTGACTTGTTACCGTGCTAACAGTGGGTGCTCGTGGGGGCTCTTTGGGTGTCTCAAGGAGCAGTTTGGGGTGTCAGCTGTCTCTGCATTGCCCTCCTCCACCAGATTTCAGGTATGTTCGTTGGAGGACGACCTGGCATTTTTCTGACCTCTCAGTTGACATATGATGTGTTATGTACATGTCCCATGAGGCCACTGTTTCTTCAGGGCCCAGGATCACAACTCCCACTTCCCATCATTCTTCTGTTAGGATTGGAATCCTTCTGAGTGGGAGTCATAAATTTGCAGGCAGCAAGATAAACAGTATTTAAGCAGTCTTTGAGAAAGCAGTGTTCTGTGCCATGTCGGATATTCAGAAGGACAATAGACACTGGATCAGTACCCTGCTGGGCTGCTACCTTAGAGGCTCATTTTGGGGTTTGGGTTGGACGATCCTGCAACGAGGGATCCTTGGACAGCCGCCCTGGAAAGAGTCCAGGTGCACATCCAGAAGCTGCCTCGCACTGTCCCATGCATTGCGCTCGGTCAGTGGAGGCAGTTGCTGCAGAAAACAGTTGATGTGAGTAGTGCCCCTAACTATTGGCAGCATCATCTCAGTTTTGTGAATGACTCTGAAAGCCATCTACTACTCCAAATAGATCTGGCTTTAAGAATTTGACCAAGAATCCTAGTTTGGAAAGCTCTGTCCAGCAGCATCTATCATTAGCCTCGTCCCAGAATAGACAGTGAGCCCCTGCCATGAGTTTATCCCAGGTCTCAGCTCCTACAATGCAGGCTGCCAAGAACCTGTCCCTGCCTGGCTCCACAGTCCCTTCCCTGACTTAGATTGTCACCCTCCCAACTGAGGGAGCTGCCCATAGCCAAGGGATAGGGACACAACTTGAGTTGCCCAAGAACCTGGTCTGGCCTTGTGGTCACTATAAACCACACCCAGCCTGTCCCACCCACTAATGCAGCCCAGCACTGGCCTCTGAAGTTCCCTTAACACTCAGAAGTCTGTTTTACCTGTGCAGTTGGACTTGACACTGTGGTCTTTAACACAAGCGAGAGCAATGTTCAGTCCCTCCCGTGTGAGCTCTTGGCTCCTAGCGCTGCACACACTCCCCTTCCCAAGGCCCAAGTACCCACGTCCCCTTTATACCTGTCACTGTCCCCTCCTAATGACCCAGTGGTTTCTCCTCCGAGTCGTGGACAATAGACAATGTGGAATCAAGCTTCCCCCTTTGGACTTTTTTTTTTTTTAATCTCTTTGAAATGCATTTGAAATAGTGTGTTTGTTTGTTTTCCCTTCTAGTTAAGGGACTATTTATATGTGTATAGGAAAGCTGTCTTTTTATTTTTTTAGTGAGGTCCAAAGAAAGATGCAAAAAGAGATACTGCCTTTGACCCACCGAGCCCTGTGCTAACAAGTCACTGCAGACTAACCTGTGTGCCAGGCACTTGTGCATTGTCGCACTTTGAGGTTATTATTTATGAAGTTCTTGAAGGATGCAGAAGAGGAACTTGTTTCTCCCTCAGTCCATAGTCTCTGTGTTTGTGCTAGTTTTGCTTTTCTCTGTGCCCAGCCAGCCCTGGGGCCCGCCCCTGGGGGAATGATGGGTAGAAACGCCAGCGTTGTTTGGCAAGAAACCACACTGACTAATGGGGAACAAAACTGGAACCAGGTGGAGCCACTCTGGGCTGCTCCTGCCCCTTCAGGGCTTCTTTCAACAGCAGAAGGCATGTTTAGTCACCTGTTTGATGCTTATTAAAACACAGCCTGCGAGAGGGGGGATGAGGTGGCATTCAATGATCCTGTTCTGTAGACTTTTTTTTTTTTTTACCCCACCTCCAAAGTATTTTACAGGAAAGCTAGCCACTTGGGGATTTTTTTTTTTTTTTAAATAAAGGAACCTAGTTGCTTATTTCTTTAATTTTTTAAAATAGCACTTGAGTTACTTTCTGAGTATTCCAGTAAAGAGAGAACTTTTGATGGCAGCCAGGGCATGTTAGAAAGTCTGGCGGAACATTTCATCCACTGTGAGTCAGAATGGCTTTATCCCTCCCTTTGAAGAGCCCCTGCTTCTTTCCGGTGCTCTGGAAGTTGTTTCGAGGAAAAGATTCTAATTTTAATTAATTGTGCAGTGAGTTAATCTCATGGGCATTTCTGCTTCCAGGCATCTTAGGATAAACAAATGGTCTTAGTAGATAAGCGCAGCCTATTAAATGTTTTTTAAAACAAACACAGGGACATTTTTATTAAGATTTGATTTTTTTAATGAATGTTTTTTAAACTATATAAATAGGACACCAAAGCTGCAGTTTTTTTTTTGTTTGTTTGTTTGTTTGTTTGTTTCGTACTCAAGATGGCAAATAAATGGCCAGCAATATTTTTTAACTCATTCCAACCAGGACGTTTTTTCCTACATTGCCTGAATCTACGCCAACCAGAAAACCATCTCTGCTCTCTATTTCTCAAGTGAGATCAGCTAATCCTTTTTATTTTAGCATTAAGCTAGCTTCTCTGTGTTCCCTAACTTATCACCTGACTTGAAGCCCTCTACCTTGAAATTGACTTTTTTTTTAATGCGAATAAAGTGGTTAATAAATAAGATGTGATGTTCAGAGTTAATGCGAACTGGAAAGATTGTGTGTGGTTGCTTTTTGTTGGTTAGGTTTTGGTTTGGTTTTTTCATTTTTATACTTTCAAATAAACTTGCAGTTTCATTCTTTCTCCTGGTGTGAATGATTCTTGGTCCACTTTTCTCCTCTACGGCGCTGTAAGAGTTGACAGTCACTTCTGTCACGGGCTTCTACAATGAGTTATGACATAATAAAATGAGAAAAAGGAAGAGTTTGTTGATGGGACCTCGAAATGTGATGAGTGCTTAAGAATCCCACAGCTGCCTCTTGACTCAAGTAGATACAAGAGACTAAATGGGCAGCTTCTGTCTGGAGGTGAGATGGGAAGGCAGAGAGGGTTAGGAGCTGGTTGAATGGACATGGGGAATCGGGTGGAAAGGAGGAGTGTGCTGTCACAGTATGGGGAGAGCAATTAGAATCATATAACAATGTATGTATAAATTTTTGTATGGGAAAAAATTTTAAAAAGAATGGTACTGGACCAGCCTTTATCCAGGGCCTCAAAACTGTGAAGACAATCTTAAAATTGTGTTGCAATGAGCATGATTTTTTTGTTCAGAAACTTGGCAGAAGTAGAATTGCTTTAAGGAGAGTATGATTATGCAAATATTTCCTCCAGTAAGCTACTACTGAATGGTATAATCAAGATCTCTGTACAGTGTTTTGAGATGTCTTTTCACATAATCTGTTTACTAAAATCAAGTAATTATCTTTATCAATAATATCGCCATTATAAATTATCTTATTGATAATTATTGTTAGTATCATGTTGCCCAGGTGGGAGAAGTAAATCTTTGATTTTTTTCATCAAGAAAAAAATTGAAGTGAAGTGATGTTTATAGAATTAATTTATATACTACAAAATAATCATCCATTCTGCTATCTTACCGAGAACTCATAAAGCTATAGTGCAATGGAAACTTAAAATGAAATATTAATAGAAACCAATGTATTAACACTTAAAATAACCATTTGTATAACTTAAACGGTTATATTAAGTCATAAAATGTTTGCATTTTCAAAAAAAAGATGATGCCTTTTCCCACCTAAAAGCCTTTATAAGCCCCAGCCAATCCTTTATTCAGGGAGACAAAGGCTAGCGTTGTATTGTCCCTCTTTGTCCCCGCTCGTGAGCTACTTTTCTCAATAAAGCTTTGTTCGTGCAGGAAAAAAAAAAAGAATCCCACAGCTGATGTGGTTGCAATATGGCAGTGGAGTTGTGGACACCAGTTAGTATCTTGAGCCCTGGGGTAGCAGTTTCAAAGATGAGCTTCTGGAGGCTGTATGAGAAAGAAGGGGCATCAGATGGCTGCAGCGGAGGTGGATGGATGTACATAAGGAAAAGATATGCACCTTATGAGCCCCTGAGGAAAAAGGTCAGTGAGCAAATATGCTGACTCCCTGAATGTCTTATAGTTAAACAAGTTCATGGGAACCTTAATTAGAACCTCCAGTTGTAAGAGATAAACATCCAACTCACACAGGCTTAATTGCGTTAAATTTTAGAAGATGTATTGTCTAATATAACCAAGTCCAAGGGTCTGAAACTGCTGATTGCAGGCAGGGCTGGATCCAGTTGCTCAACAGATGTCATTAGAAGTCTGTTTGTCCCTTTTCAGCTTTTCAACCCTGCTTTGCTCAGTGTTGGCTTTATGGCTTCGCACACGGTGGAAAAGAGGGTCCCAGAAGATCTAGGTTCATAAACTCAGAGGAGACACTCTCCTAGAACCTATAGAAACTCCCTTAAATGGACTTGTGATTGGTCATCCTTGGTCATGTGACCCTTATTGTGGGTGAGAATCAGTCTCTTGATGGACAACCCCACCCGAATTACCTTGAGTGGAGGAGAAACAATTCCCATATGGAAGAGGCTAGTAGTAGACAAGATACTACTGTATCTATTATAGAGCCTCACCAAGGAATGGGACCCACAACTGTGTGGCACAGTTTCTTATACACATAAGAAAATAGCACATAACTACAAGCCTCAGGCAATATAGCCGTAGGCATTAAATAGTCTGAAAGAAGCAGAGGCAATGTTGCAGTAAAAATTCCAGAACACTCAACAGCCAGAACACTCAACAACCTTTCCCTAAACCTAGGAGACAAAGTCAGTTTCAAGTTGCAGACGTTTTGGGCTTGGGTTAAGTGTGCTTTTGTGAGATAGTTATCCGAGGTATGCCATTTAACACGGGTAAAGACATATTGGAGGAGTTCCACCCTAAGGAAACCTGAAGTACCTCATAGGTCTCAGAACTGCCTCCAAAGCACTGAAAGTGCTGAAACAGGACAGTTATCCCACCAACAGTCTATCCCAACCTGCACAAGGCTTTTAAGCTGATAGATCAGAGATACATTCCCATTCATCACCCTTACAGAGCTACCCAAAACCTAGACTCAACTATTCATGCTACTAACTAGGCTTTCCATGGTTAATTCTTTTACCTACCCCTGAGAGCTTGGATGCTTCAATATCTAGAGAACCATTCCTTGGACATTCTGGGACAATTGAGGTCATAGGAACTTAGGGGCCGAATTCCTACCAGATTTAGAATTCAGAGTCGTGGGGGACTGGGATGCAAAATTGGGGGAATCTTGTTCATTTTACTAGAATTAATGACTCTGCTGAAGGGCATTGGTGGTTCAGTGGTAGAATTCTCACCTTCCATGCGGAAGTCCTGGGTTTAATTCCCAGCCAAGGCACCTCAAGGGCAGCTACCACCCATGTCACTGGAGGCTTGTGCGTTGCTTTGATGCCAAACAGGTTACAACAGAGCTTCTAGACTAAGACAGACTAGGAAGAAAGGCTTGGTGATCTACTTCCAAAAATCAGCCAGTGAAAACCCTATGAATCATACCAGTCCAATCCTGTTGTGCGTGGGGTCACCATGAGTTGGAGGCCAACTCAAGGGCAGCTAAGAACAACATACCTCCATTAGGGCTGTGTTTGTGATCTGAGCAAGGGTGATTCACTGCAAAGCTCGGGTGTCAGGCTTTATTTGACTTCACAGGGCTGACACATTTGCCCGGGAGAGTCATCCCTGTGAGCCAGAAGAGGAAAAGGCATATGAAGGAGCACACATGGGTCGTAT